TGTTCTTAGAGTTCTGAACCTTCCAGTTACTAACCATATCATTTAGGGTTCAGACTAGGAAATAGAAACCACTCTGGGTATTTTAAGTGGAAAAAGATTTAAGTACTTGGGCAAAAAGTACTTAAAAGAGCTGAGGCCGGGCGTGGTAGCTCATGACTATAATCCTAGCACCTTGGGAGGCTGAGGCGGGCAGATCACCTGAGTCCAGGAGTTCAAGACCAGCCTGGCCAACATGGTGAAATCCTGTCTCTACTAAAAATACAAAATTAGCTGGGCCCGTGCCTGTAATCCCAGCTACTAGGTTGGCTGAGGCAGGAGAATTGTCTGAACCTGGGAGGCGGAGGTTGCAGTGAACTGAAATTGTGCCACTGCACTCCAGCCTGGGCAACAGAGTGAGACTGTCTCAAAAGAAAAAAAGTAAAAGAGCTGGAGAAGTGTAAGTCAAGGTCACTCCTCTGATGTTGCCATCAGAGTTCAACAAACCAATTCTGCTTCTGCTGCTATTGAACTGTCTCAGTCTCCTGAAGTTGGTAATAGGACAGTGGATTCCAGCGTCTAGCCACCACACCCATACTAGAAAGGATTACTGGCTATAAATAGCGCAACAATAGGATCAGGCTGGGCATCGTAGCTCACGCCTGTAATCCTAGCTCTTTGGGAGGCCAAGATGGGTGGATCACCTGAGGTCAGGAGTTCGAGACCACCCTGGCCAACATGGCAAAACCTCATCTCTACTAAAAATACAAAAATTAGCTGGGCGTGGTGGCACATGCCTGTAGTCCAAGCTACTTGGGAGGCTGAGGCAGGAGAATCGCTTGAACCCGGGAGGTGGAGGTTGCAGTGAGCTGAGATTGCGCCACTGCACTCCAGCCTGGGCAACAGAGCGAGACTCAGTCTCAAAAAAAAAAAGGGATTACTTATCAAGCTCCACAGTCCCAGGACGATGGCCTCTGTCCTCCTTCTGCCTTCCAAATCTCTCAGGAGAGAATCTCATTAGCAGAATTGCAGTCAAGTCCAGAACCTGCTGCAAGGACCTCTGGGAAGTGTGTTGGGCAGGATTGGGCACTGAGCCAGTAGGAGATATCTCACACAGTGATCTCTCAAGAGGACTTCCTTTTCAGACTTGGCAGGGAGAAGAGTCTCCACTGCTTGATGGCAAAAATTTATCCCATGAGGGACCAAGTTCCTGGGCCACAGCCCTACCCAACCCTCTGGCTTTATAGTAACCTTATCGCCCATTAAATAGTCATCAGGGTTGGGATGTAGGGGAATAAAGGCCCACAGTTGGATCCCACAAGTGTAGTTGATGTTATTTGGGTAACATTGCACAGTTTGGAAACAGTGGGCACCCTGCTGCCAGCCCAGAATAGAGCTATACACAAATCCTGCTTAGGGCCCCTTCCTTTAAGGCCTCAGGCCCTTGCCGCTCTAGGACCTTCTCCTTGGTGTTCTGGTTCTTTGTTACAAGATTAAGCCACACTCTTCAGTGATCAAGAGTGTGGGCTCTGGACCAGACTGCTGAGGTTCAAGTCCTAGCTCTGCTGTTAATACTTGTAAGTTAAATGACCTTAGGCAAATTAGTCAGTGTCCTCTCTCAATGGGGTAATAAACAATTCTGATACAAGAGATGAGCAGCATATTAAAATCAGAAGTATTTTCAGTGAAACTAGCTGCAAGGTGGCAATAATATAGTCGCTTTGTAATAACCAAAACGTTCAGGCTGGTCATGGTGGCTCGCATCTGTAATCCCAGCACTTTGGGAGTCTGAGGCAGGAGGATTGCTTGAGGCCAGGAGTTCAAGACCAGTGTGGGCAACATAGTGAGGCCTCATCTCTCAAAAAAACAAAAGTTAGCTGAACATGGTGGCACGTGCCTGTAGTCCCAGCTATTTGGGAGTTTGAGGCAGTAGGATCACTTGAGCCCAGGAGTTCTTGGTGGCGGCGAGCTACGATTGTGCCACTGCGCTCCATCCTGGTCAATAGAGTGAGCCTGTGTCTCTAAAAAACAAACCAAAAAAACCCCAAAACATTCACTCAATCAAATTGTTATTGAATGCCTCCTGTGTTTCATAGACTGTGCTAGGAGCTGGAGTTGCAACTGTAAGCCTCCTTTTTCCCCTCCCTTATGGAGATAATAATATTTATGACACAGGATGTTGAGAAGATGTTTTTTTTCTTTTGAGACGGAATTTTGCTCTTCTGCCCAGGCTGGAGTGCAATGGCGCGATCATGGCTCACTGCAACCTCCACCTCCTGGGTTCAAGCAATTCTCCTGCCTCAGCCTCCCGAGTAGCTGGGATTACAGGCGTGCACCATGACACCCAGCTAATTTTGTATTTTTAGCAGAGACCAGGTTTCTCCATGTTGGTCAGGCTGTGTCTCAAACTCCTGACCTCAGGTGATCCACCCACTTTGGCCTCCCAAAGCGCTGGGATTACAGGCGTGAGCCACCACGCCCAGCAGAGAAGATTTTTAATTTTTTTAGTCTTCCACAACAGTCATCTTATGTTGAGAAGACTTAATCAGATAATCCATGTAAAGGATTCAGTGCAATGTGTGGCATATAATAAATATTGTTGGCCAGGGGCCTGTAATCCCAGCACTTTGGGAGGCTGAGGTGGGCAGGTCGCTTGAGGTCAGAAGTTCAAGACCAGCCTGGCCAGCATGGTGAAACCCCATTGCTACTAAAAATACCAAAAAAATTAGCTGCGCGTGGTGGTGCGCACCTGTAATCCCAGCTGCTCAAGAGGCTGAGGCAAGAGAATTGTTTGAACCCAGGAGCCAGAGGTTACAGTGAGCCAAGATTGTACACTGCACTCCAGCCTGGGCAACAGAGCAAGGCACCATCTCAAAATAATAAATAAATAAGTAATGTTAATGATATTCTTTTTTTTTTTTTTTTTTTTTTTTTGAGACGGAGTCTCACTCTGTCGCCCAGGCTGGAGTGCAATGGTGCAATCTTGGCTCACTGCAACCTCTGCCTCCCAGGTTCAAGGGATTCTCCTGCCTCAGCCTCCCGAGTAGCTGGGATTACAGGCGCCCGCCACCGCGCCCAGCTAATTTTTTGTATGTTTAGTAGAGACGGGGTTTCACCGTGTTAGCCAGGATGATCTTGATCTCCTGACCTTGTGATCCACCCGCCTCAGCCTCCCAAAGTTCTGGGATTACAGGCGTGAGCCGCCACGCCCGCTATAAATAATGTTCATGTTATATTCTAATGGAGCATGTGAGAAGGAGAAATATTCTATTGTTTTGTTGTTTTATAGACACCATCAAGAGAAATTGGAGGCTAGTAAGTGTGATCACCCGCAGAACTCACCTACGCTAGAAAGGCTTGGAAGGAAGAGGAAGTGGACTGAAAAACAAGATTCTAGTCAAAAGAAATCCCTAGAGCCAAAAACAAAAGGTTTGTATGTTTTAGCAGGACCCACGGACTAGAGTTGATAAGATTCTATAGCTGAGCAAACCCCTGTGTATTTCTTTTTTTTTCTTTTTTTTTGAGGCAATCTTGCTCTGTCGCCCAGGCTAGAGTGCAGTGGCGCGATCTCGGCTCATTGCAAGCTCCGCCTCCCAGGTTCACGCCATTCTCCTGCCTCAGCTTTGCAAGCAGCTGGGACTACAGGTGCCCGCCACCACGCCCATCTAATTTTTTTTGTATTTTTAGTAGAGATGGGGTTTCACCGCGTTAGCCAGGATGGTCTCGATCTCCTGACCTTGTAATCTGCCCGCCTCGGCCTCCCAAAGTGCTGGGATTACAGGGGTGAGCCATGGCGCCTGGGCCTTATTTTTTTGTTTTTTAGAGATGGAGTCTCACTATGTTGGCCAGGTTGGTTTTGAACTCCTGGCCCCAAACAGTCCTCCTGCCTTGGCCTCCCAAAGTGCTAGGATTACAGGTGTCAGCCACTATGGCTGGCCTTTATTTTCGTTTTATATCGCACACTTGTGGGTGTCTGGAAAATGCCCCTTATTAGTTTCATGAAGCGAAGGAGAGTAAAAGGCACTGGGAGCTTATTTCTCCTGCAGTGGTCTCCAATCTTTGAGGTGTCCTAGGTCTCTTTTGGGAATCTGATTCTCATAAAACCTGTGAACTGTCATTCTTTTTTTTTTTTTTTTTTTTTTTT